ACTGGATATAAATATTAGTTATGCAGTATCAAGTGTAGATGCCCAAAAATTAAATCCTGAAAATTTAATAGACTGTACATATACTTTTTGAGATATGTAATAAGAGGATGTTTATATGGGGGTGAGGCTGGATGCCCGGGGTTAGGGGCTACAGACTTAAGGTCACTTTTCCTGAAGCAAGATCTCGGGCTAAAGGGGCGGGATCTCGCTTAGCTATAGCTGGGCCCGCTCTTTACCCTTTTAGTAAGAAATAACAAGAAAGACAGGATCTTGCCAAAACTGGGCCAGCTTGGGTACCTGGGGTGGCTTGCAGTTGCACCATATAAACAGCCCCTATATATAGGCAGTATATATTTTGTCTGGTAATTGGAGTCTTTGGAGATTTTGTGTGAATATAAAAATGACCCTTTACGGGTGAGTTGAGGGGGGTGTTTCTGTCAACATTTTGGAAAGCAATAATATTCTATTAAAAAATTAGAATAATCACATATATTTAAACTCTGATTGTAGTATATATTGCATTGTGTGTGATTAAAGTAAGGGGTTTTTTTACCCCACCTCTGCATGCAAGGATTTTTTGGCCACCCCACCTAAAGCAACTATTATTTTTCAGTTACCCCACCATTTTCTCTTCGGCCCCCACCCCTGCCATAAATAATGACCGGTCCCTAATACAAATATACTGAAAATATGCAAACTTACTTTGCAAGGCTATATTTTCCAAGCTTTACAACATTTCGCAACCAAATTTTGCAAGTTTACTAATCTTAATACGTTCTTAATGGGAATTTACTTTTTTTTTTCCTAGGTCGGCTAGATCAAAAATATGTCTAACATGCAAGTTGTCTATTATATCCAGCACAGCTTCAATAAAATATATTGAAGTAAATATGACATCAAGTACTCTTTTATTAAAAGCGATAGCTATGTGCGTGTTTCACTTGTATCATTTGGGACAACCCGAGAATACCCTTATGGAATTAACAAAATAAAACATGGGTATGAAACCAAGAATACTTATTGATGGCCTGTAATAGTAATATCATAATATTGTATATATTTTTAAATTAAACATTTTAAATGTTGAATAAATCTAATTTGTAATGAAAATTAATAATGCACATAAGAATATGTTTAATAAAATAATATATAATTGTTTGGTGTGCTAGATCCTTAATTAACCAATCCTTTGCCTGGTCAAACAATATGATTCTATTGCCATGAATTGCCATCGAATATAACAATGATTCCAGTGACAAACGTAGAGCCATATACATTTGGGTATTTATTAGTGCAGATTTACTTTCCCCGTAATGTGCACAGAGTACATTGTGAGTAGACATGATCAACAATGTGCAGTTTCCATAATTAATCTGAAAAATACAAACAGCAGTAAATATTTAGATGATACATGCATAAACCGACATAAGTTTTGTTTCAACAAAGCATGGCTGTGTTCACAAATTTATACATTAAAATTATATGTATAGTAGAAATGCAAAAGGAACAACATACTTTTTATACAATTTGAAAGAGAATTATGCACATATCAACGGCCTGCCCGGGGGGTACACCCTGGGACAACGGGGGGGAAACGAGGGGGAATTTGGTATTTTATCTGTGTGTTCTGCCTGTGAACCCCGGGGAGATTAGGGAGTGGTCATTATTTATGGGGAGGGGGGTGTTGGGAAATGGGGAAAATAAGGATTGGAAACTTTTTTGACCCCCCTCCAGACTGAAGGCAAACTTTTTGTGTCTCCCCCCTCATAAAAGTAGAAACTTTTCTGACCCCCACCCCCCAGTGTGGATTGAAAAATTAACAGCAATGAAACAGGTGTGCATTGCATGTAAAGTTAGATATTAGGACAATCTGTTTAATCTAGCTCATGATGTTTTACCCTGGTGAATAGGATTCAACCATATGTGATTAAAAATATATATTATGTGTTACTACTTTGCAATGCAACATTTGTCCCACCATAACCCTAACCCATGACCCGTCTTCATACAGCAAAATGATTTGAACACAGCGTTTTTTTAAGAACTTGTCTGGGCACCAACCATGGTAGTGCCTCGCAATCATGGGAGTCAGGCACACTAAGTTTAACAAGGTTGCTACCCCCTGAGTGACCCAGTTGTGGTATTTACATAAACATACCATGCAAATACACTTAACTGATCAGATTCGGTCTATCAACACACAATGTAACGTTGTATATCCAAAAATCTGTTTCAGAAAATGCTTACATTTCAGTTGTAGGGGTGGAAGAATACAAAACATTTTCTGGGGGAGAATCCCCGGACCCCCTACTAGTACATACAATACCACACCAAACTTTTTGTCACCAACAACCATCTGTCATCTCTCCGCACTCAATATAGTATGGTCCCTTTTTGTAGATGTCCACCCCAGAGCAGGGAAATTTTGAGTATCTAGATTGTTGGAAATAGCATTTTCAGAGTCTTCTTTTTTGCTATTTGTGATTATAGAAATCAGAACTGTAGACATAGTATTTAAGTTCAAAAACTTTTATGACCCCCCCTTTCTCTGTGTTAAAACTTTTTTGATCCCCCCTATTTATAAGGGTAAAACTTTGTCCCCCCCTCCCATTTCCCAACCCCCCCCCTCCCATAAATAATGACCACTCCCTTACAAACTTCGCAATAATAGGACGATGGGGGGAGGGGAAGTAGGGGACTTTGACGTGACAATTTGAATTTTATAAATGAAGTACATAATTGGTGTGAACTCAAAATCACAGGCTCACACAGAAAAATATCGATCGGCAACTTATTATTTATGATATTTTGTAGTGGTCTTGCTAAAATTTGAATAAATAAATACGGAATACATGAGTGCCATTGTGATACCCCAGTTTGTATAATAATTTTTAATTGTATATTTCAATAAATGAATGTATGGTACAGTACAAGTGTTTCATTAAAATTTTGAAAAATGCCTCACTTGTAGTGCTTTTCAGCTTTTGTTGTTTATTTATTAACATATGAAAACAGAATCATCATAGTCCTCGAAATTCCAAAAGTTTGTTTCCCATCATGACAATGATTTCAATTTCTCGTTAATTTAGTAATTTATTACTAATTTTCTACGGTTCCACACAAAATACTGTAGGTCTGCACCTACTGATACTCGAAAAGCATACATGCGACATGGGCAAAAATACCACCATTCGTTCAGCTCATTTATATTATCTGTTTGGATCATCATTTATACATTTCACAGCAGAAATTGTGGAGATAGTCGCTCGAATGAATTAATGATCCAGCTTGAACTTGATAGTAGTTGGTAAAGTTCAGAAGAAACCTTTTACACCTATATGTAACTATAAATATTTACTAATTTCAAATCTTCTCCAATGTACTCCTTTTTAAAAAATTATAAAGATAAGTGGCTCTCTGGTCAGGGGGGAGTGGGAAATGTCGCCCGCACGCATTTGAGCTGTGGTCAGTTAACGTACCATGAGAATAGTGGACGTGGAGCTCGAAATCCGCCATGTTTTTGCGGACACTTTTCATTTGCGAGCACGATCTCCAGATATATATAGTAGAGCTCAGTGGTTAATCCCAACCGGAAGTACGACGAAAAAAACGTCAAAACAATGCGACGTTTGTATCGTATGACCCTGAAAAGGCCAGAAATTGTTCGGAAGGTCAAATTGCATCTACACGCGTGAGTTTGACGTCATTCCGGACACAGGAGCTTCTTATTGGCCAATTAATGCGAAATGTACGCAAGTGCGAGTAAAACCTAGCCTGCGCGCAGACTATATAATGACATATATATGCCATTATATAGTCTGCGCGCAGGCTAAGTAAAACCCAGCATTTTGAAAAATTCAAAATAAATATTTCTACTCGCCGTATTCAAACGAAATTTTGTACACGAACGCGCTTGAATACAAAGAGTATTTTACACATATAGCCGTTCAGCAAATGACGAAAAGTTCAACAGATATTCAAGATTTTCTGCATATGAAATTTAGAATCTTTGGCCTAGCGGTGAGTGAATATATGATTGTTTCGGTTTGTGTAATGTTTTGACGGCACTTGACCCCCCCTTCGAAAGGTTATTTTGTGAGGATTTCAATGGTGGCTGTTATTTAAAAGGGGGAGGGGGGTAAATACTCGCCGAGATATTTCCAATAGAAAAATTAAGTCGAAACCGTACTGTCGTTGTTTTGGACTTTGTCCAGTTTATTATATAGTTCATGTTAATTTATCATGGTAATCGACTTTTGTCCAGTAACATTGAAAATAGAGAGGTCAGACGACAGAACGAACACAAAACGTTTTTGAGAAACAGGGGTTTTTTCCATAGATATCTCATATACACTAGATAGCGCATCCCACCCTGTAGGCAGGCGAAAATTGAAGCCTGATCGCAGTCGCAGTTTACGTGCGGCGGCCATATTGGTCGTTCCCACGGAGCGTGATAATTTGTATATTTTGTATTGCGGAAATGGACAAAGTTGACAATAAATCGTCTTTTATGCAGTCAATTTTGGTTTTTCAAGTGTGCAACTTGTTGTAAATGATGCCAGATCGTTGGAGCTTCATATTGTGAATAACGGGTAGGCAGAATTTTATTTTTTTTTTCAAAAATATCAATATTTGTCGACCCGTATGAAGGGCGCCCATAGGACAAACCTTATGGACAAACCATCATTGTTGATGTATATATAAATATAGTTCCACCAATTCCAAATAAAACATTTTGAGCCATCGCCATTGCTTCATGGCAAAATTGTGAATGTATTTGCATATTCTTTTGTAAAAGACAGCGACACTGAAAAACATATTTTAGTCACAGTTTATCAATGGCAAAAATAGACTTAAAATCTTAAATAGTCAATATATAGAACATTGACACCAAAAATGGTTCTTACTCCTTACTATTTGTATATTTATTACATACAACATATCATATATTATTTTATAGTTCCATGGAATCACATCAAGATTAAAATGTGTTAGAAGCTAGAGAAGAATAATTGCAACTTAGTATATTCGCAGGCAATATAACATAATTGATATTGCTTTATGTAAATGTAGTTGATAATCAAACTTTCTAAAACCTTCAATTGTATGAATGCTTCAAACTATCTTTAATATTTGATGTTAAGAAATATTTCTTTCTGTTGAGTCCTAGACCTTTTGTTTTTAATTCAAGCAATCAAACTGCCAAATTACTGTAAGCATAGGTCATTGATAATCAGCTGAATTTTAGAACTGCTTTGGGAAACCCTATTTTGTAATGAGACACATTACTTCTTGCATTATTGTATATTGTAAGGTTAATGGGATAAACTGCTTGATGCACAGTAGATTTTATAATCTTAAATATAGTTGCACTCACTATTGTATAAATAATTCTATTATTATAATAAAGTATTACTTTTGACTTTGTGTAATAGTGTTTTCTAATTCGTTGACTCATCAGATGCACAATAATTAAACTTTTCTAAAAAAATAAAATAAATTTGCCAGTACTCTCAGGAATTGAAAACATGATAAACTCTCAATTTTTGCCTTTTGAGTTTAGTGGTTACTGTAAATATCATAAAAAAATGTCCAATTTAAAAAAAAATTTGGAGACCTGAAGAAGTTTTGGTGCCAATTGAAATTAAAAATTTGAATTAAACTCAGAAAATTTCATAGCAATGGGTAAAGTCATTCCTGATGCAAAAAGTATAAGAAGTAATAGTGAAGGGTCAAGTGACAGAATCAAAAATCAAAAGAAAACTTCCCAGGACATTTCATCAGTAAGCAATTTATTTTAGTTTTTTACAGTATACTATTATATTGATTGAAATTAGACTTGCATTAACATGATAAACATCCCTAAGGATGAAGTACTATGAAAACAGTTGATACAAAATGTTCATCAAGAAAAGTGGTCACCCAAAAAGCAGATGTTTATATGTTCTGACCACTTTTGTTCTGGTTGCATTGTCCATACTGTTCTGTTCTCAGAAAGCAGACACTTATATGCTCTGACCACTTCTGTTCTGGCTTCATTGTTCATTGTCCATATGTTCTGGCTTCATTGTCCATACACAATCTTTTTACTGAGCTAGATCACCATATTTTTAACTCACCAGTTGGTGAAAATATGTTATATTTCAGTTAACCAAGAGCATCATCAAGAGTTACTGTGAGGTTAAATTTTACCATCTTGGAAAAAAGACCACTGAGAATTCATCTGGACAAAAAATTAAAAAGAAATTAAATAAACTTGTACCTTTTACTGTAAGCACCAGTGTGAGTGATTACACAGAATGTATCAGAGAAAGCTAAATATTACTAAAATTTACTATGAAACTGCCCAAGCTGAAAGTGCAGACTCTGTCTCAAACGTTTCACTAAAGATTTATAGTGAAAAATACCCAAGCTGAAAGTGCAGACTCAGACTGTCTCAAACATTTCACTAAAGATTTACAGTGAAAACTGCCCAAACTGAAAGTGCAGACTCTGTTTTTTTCAGTATAAACTGCCTACGCCGATAGTCGAAACGTTACTTACCAACTTCCATTTCCATAAAGTGGTGCCAGAAACCGTAAGTACATGTACTGATTAGACGATACTTCACCAGAGAATCACTCACAGATTCAAAACAAGTATATAAAGCCACTGTCGTAATTCGAAATTTTTAGCTTTAAAATGCGATTCAAAGGCAACAACATCGCCAATTAATGTTTTTTTCTTGTACCCTTTTCCAAAAAAGCTGCGATTTCAAGGCGAACGTACCTCAAAAAGATATTTTTAATCCAGAAATGCAAAAAAGCCTCGAAAAGTATAGTATTTTCTATAGCATTTCATTGATGAGTGGGAACGACCAATATGGCCGCCGCCTATTTTCATGGGGGAAACCGCTGAGATTTTTGGCTTCAGTTTTGTATTCCGAGATCGATGCGCTATCTAGTGTATATGAGATATCTATGGTTTTTTCCTGTAAAATGTTGAGTTATACTAAATAAATATATGAAAACCTCATGGTTAATGAAAATTACACGCCGTCTATAACAAAGCTGGTCTTTCGTCGAGCTGGATAAGAAAGAAAATGCCAGAAGTAAGCGAAATTGACAAGTGTAGAGCGAAGAGAAAAGTTGCGAAAGCTAGCGTGACAAGAAATATGAATCGTGTCAGAGAGCTGATCTCTAGCAATGGAAGTGTTTCGAAAGTCCGACAGTTTGCCAAAGGTGTAGAAGAAGGTCGTACGAAAGCCCGTGACCTTACGAAAGAACTGGAAGAGCTTGATCCAGCGTCAATTGAGACTGATGGTAGCTGGTTAGAAGAGGTAAAATTTGATGTCAACGAAGTCCTGGGAGAAGTTGCTGAAT